GGTGGTTGTCCTGCATCTTCAATAAACAAGCTACAGGTAGTCCAAAATGCAGTGGCTAGAGTCCTTACCAGGTCAAGAAAATATGATCATATTATCCCAATTTTACAGTCTCTGCACTGGCTACCTATTAAGTTCCGTATCAGTTACAAAATATTATTACTTGCCTATAAGGCCCTTAATGGGTTAGCTCCTGCGTACCTTACTAGTCTTCTACCACGCTACAATCCATCACGCTCCCTAAGGTTGCAAAACTCTGGACTTTTGGTAGTACCTAGGATAGCAAAGTCCACTAAAGGAGGTAGAGCTTTTTCGCATTTGGCTCCCAACCTCTGGAATAGCCTTCCTGATAATGTTCGGGGTTCAGACACACTCTCTCTGTTTAAATCTAGATTAAAGACACATCTCTTTGGCCAAGCATTCAAATAATGCATCTCATAATCTTGTACTGCAGTTATATCTGATCAAATGCACATTATTATTATTCTTTAGTTTGGGTTAAACAAATCAATTTTGCTTGTTTGGAACAGCAGCTACGCTAATTATGTCTGTATTTGTCTCTCTGTTTTTGCCACGGGATGTATGATTTACACAAGCTTCAGTCTGGATCCAGAACACCTGAGAAGAGATGATGCCAACCCCTCAGAGGACCTCAGATGATGCCAACCCTGAAACAACTTACAGAACTACCACATTTTGCTATATGTTTGATTGCATCATATAATAATTGTTGTTAATAGTGTTCATCGTCTGTTTTATTACGTCTTAAATTGATTTTTCCGTACATTTCTGCCCTATGTACATTAACTGACAGTCACCACTGATAAGCTACCACTAAATATTGTAGAAACTTAATTTGCTGTAAAGTTGCTTTGCAACGATTTGTATCGTGAAAAGCGCTATACAAATAAACTTGAATTGAACTGAAATGAATTGAACTTTGATCCACTTTTGCCTTTCCTGAAGTAAATGCAGGTATTCTTTGATCCTTTTCCAGAATAGATCTGCTAAGTACTGCACTTGTTTCCATCTGCGCTTGATGTATATATCGGTTTTGTGACACAATCCAGGTGGAAGTGGTGGATTAGATTTCAGTAATAAAATGTGATTAGGAGTCAATGCTTCAAGGTCTTGGTAATCATCAGATACTGTTGTTATAGGTCGACTATTGACTATTCAAGATAGAAAAAAGTGTCTTCGTCTCCCAAAGTCTGCAGACGCAAAATAGAAAAAAGTGAAAGTGACGTGGCCAAGTATGGTTACCCATGGTTACTAGGAATTAGTGCTCTGCATTTATCCCATCCTAAGTGCACACACATAGCAGTGAACACACACACACACACTGTGAATGATAATGTATAAACAGAACCTCCTTAAATCAACATGAGTTAAAAAATAACTGATCTAACCGTGTATGTGGATATTAAGACTTAACAAATAATGTGCTGGATAAAACAAAATGGGGAAACAATTTCAGGTCATAAGGTGCACAAGGAATTAAAAAAACACACCCCCAATAGAGTGTATTATTTCAATTTCAATAGAGCGTAATATACTCATAAGAATTTGAGCAACATATAAGGGTGAGTAAATGACAGAATTTTCATTTTTTTTAGGTGAACTACTCCTTTAAGAAGAAATGAGTAAAGTGCCTAGAAAGATATTTCACAGAACAGTGATTCTGGGATGCTTTGACACAATTAGTGGCATCTAAATCACCTCCCACTCTTCCTCCAGCTCCTCTCCACTCAGAGAACCCACGTTGCCATGGTTTTTGCTCCTATTGTTTTGTAGAGTCTTGGTAAGGCGCTGGTTGAGAGCACCAGTAGGAGCAACCGCCCACAGTTCATCCATCGGGGTCACTGCAAAAGACAACTACTTGGTCAGTTTTTATCATTTACATGTGCAGATGCTCATTTTATCATTAACCGATTTTAAAAACTCACCTGCAAGCCAGCTGAACAGTCCTGGGATCTTCTTCCAGTAGTCTCCAGCTGGGTTCTTCTCTGTAATGCCGTATCGACGAGCCACTGCACCATTATAAAGGCGAACCCAAGCGGTCCTCAGACTTAGAACCAGTTGACTTGCCTGTAGTCCTACAATTTTGAAAAAACAAAAACAAAACACAAACTTGAACCTGCTCTAATTAAACATCTATGAAAATGAGTTGAAGAATAATAGCGTCTGAATACAAGAATAATAAAAACAGCAGATGAAATTATGTAATGAAGGTATACCAGGAATGTGCTCCCAGGCAGTTCCAACAGGCATCTCCTCAGTGATGCCGACGCGCACATGCACATTGCCTCTGTTGTCCAGCGCCCACAACATGCTGTCATTAGGACTCGTCTGAATTTTCACTAGATAAAGGCCAGCAGGCTGCTCAAAGAGAACATGAGAATAAGAAAAGTGCATAAGGTTGGTGAAATAATCCCATGGTGTATTCCAAGGGCCAAATTATCCCTCACTGGTCATGGTAGGAATGGTTCACTGAAAAAAATTGTTACTGTAAACAAGAATTTCAGTATGCGTGACATGTGGCCAAGTATGGTGACCCATACTTGGAATTAGTGCTCTGCATTTATCCCATCCTACGTGCACACACACAGCAGTGAACACACACCCGGAGCAGTGGGCAGCCATTTATGCTGCGGCGCCCGGGGAGCAGTTGGGGGTTCGGTGCCTTGCTCAAGGGCACCTCAGTCGTGGTATTGAAGGTGGAAGAGAGCGCTGTACATTCACTCCCCCCACCTACAATTCCTGCCGGACCTGAGACTCGAACTCGCAACCTTTGGGTTACGAGTCTGACTCTCTAACCATTAGGCCACGACTTCCCTACACAAAGATGACTTGTCTTACCATACGTATAAGTCTTTCCCAGACCCCTCCGTGATGTGAGGCTGATGGAGGGTTAAAGCTCCACTGAACTCCCTTCTGAAGCATAGCATTGTTAATTTTATTTTGGTTCCATATCTCTTAACAAGACTCCGTCCTCGTTTTGTTTCAAAAGGTCCGAAATAATCAACTCTGACATTACTGAAAGTTGGAAGGTCTGCACGCAGTCGTTCTGTTGGTAAGTCATCCATCTTTTGTTCTCCAACATGTCCTTTCATGTGTCTACAGATTACACATTTTGATATGACTTTACAAACTGCAGAGTTGCCATTTATGATCCAGTATTTTTTCCTAAGTTGTGACAGAACATGATTTCTACCACCATGTCCAAAATTACTCGCTTGAAGGGACACCTGTGCACTTTTAACTGGGGCTTTCACCATTTGATTTGAATAATATTTGGGTTTGATATGTAACATGCTAGGATGAGACTTGCTGCAAGTATTACAGGTGAGACGTTTTATGCAGTCTTTATTAATGTGTCCAGCCTTTGTCAGGCATCCAAAACACACTCCATTTTGCTTTATAAAAGCAATTTTCTCTCTGCGAGGAATTTTCTCAAACCTTGCACACGTTTTTAATTCCATGATTATCATTACAGAACAAGCATGCCTGTTGAACATCTGACTGTGTTGATTTTACATCCACTTTCACAGCAAAACTTCCCTTGGTTTTGGGTTTTAGCATTTTGGATTGTGTTCTGTTCACATTAGGATCTTGAATATTTCCAAACATTGGATCTGAAAGTATTTTGGCTTGGTTTTGAATAAAACAGAGCAGATCATTCATTTTTATTCTGCCAGATTGCTCTTGGATTTCACATGCTCTTGAACGCCACTTTTCCCTAAGTTTGTATGGAAGTTTCATGGCTGTGCTTCTCAAATTAGAGACAGTGTTTAATTCTTCCATATATTCCATCTCCTCCATGGCATTGCAACAACTCCTTAAGAACAATGCAAAATCTTGTAAAGCTTGTGAGTCCTCAGATTTCAATGTAGGCCAGGAAAAGGCTTTCTCAACATACGCACAAGAAATTTTATACTCATTTCCAAAATGTTGTTTGAGCAATTTATTTGCTTCTGGATAACTTCTGTCTGGATTCATATGTTGACAGATTTTGACCAACTTCTGTGCTTGCCCCTTTGTGTACTGAATTAAAAAGTAAAGTCTGTCTTGGTTGTTTGTGGTCTTACTTTCAATCAAGTGTTCAATGGAATGAATAAAGGAACCGTACTTAAGAATGTCTCCATCAAAAACTTGGATGTCACATTTTGGTAAACTAGACAACATGTTCTGCTTTACTAGAATCTCAGGTAGATCATTTTGCCTTTGCATAATATTGCAGAATTTGTCTGCTTCTTGAGATGAATTCCGTGAAGAGCTGATTTGATGGCTTCGCCATGCACTTTGTGAAGTAACCTGCTTAACTTTCAACTTGTGATCAGAACTTTGCTGATATCGAGTCTGATACACAATACTCATTCCAACATCATAATGACTTTGACTTGCATTTAAAGATAAAGATTTCACATCGCTTTCATTTTTGGGGCGCACAACGGGAGATTTATAAACAATGATTTCTATCACCATGTCCAATCCGTTCATGTATGTCTTGCAGAATGAAAGTAGAGGCATGGAGATTTTTTGGAAGAATAATTGGACGTTTAATTTCGTCTGATGTTGCAGATTTGCTTAGCCAACCTCCAACTCTTAAGACGCCATCTTCCAGTATGGGGTCCAATTTGTAGAGATTACTACGTTTACTCATCCATTTTCCAGTAGAGGAGGTATTTCCAAGACTTGAAATCTCCTCTTCATATACTTGTCTTTGACAGTACATCACAATAGCCTTTTCTGCCAATAAAAAGTCATTCAAGAAAATGGACTGTTCACTGAATGAGTTCTTGACAGCATTAATTTTATCAGCTACTACTCTGCCTTGACTCCGTGTATGCATTTTGAGATTGGACTGGATTCTTTTCCTTGCTGTACAAATCAAACAAAGGGTATTCTTCAGTTAAGGAACCATGTCACTGCTCTTTTCAAATTAGTCCAGCTTGAGAAGTAAGTTAGAAGCTGATCAGTAGGATTTTTATCATGTGTGATGACAGTGTTAAACACAATAGCAGTCTTTTTCACTTCAGGGTCATCTGGAGAGAGCATAGAAGAAATGGATGTAATTGAGTTCTGAGGCCAATCTTGTTCCTTCATCCATAGAAATTCTGGTCCATGAATCCATTCTGTGCAATTCATCAGCGTGCTAGCATTCACTCCTCTAGATGTCTTATCAGCTGGATTTTGTTTAGTTCCAACATATTTCCATTGAGACACATCTGTGTTTTCTCTAATGATTGATATCCTGTTAGCCACAAATGTGTTAAATCTTGTACACTCATTTGCAATGTATTTCAACACTGATTGACTATCAGTCCAAAATGTAGATCTCCCGAGATTCAATTCCAATTCCTTCCTCACCATTTTATCCACTCTAACAGCAAGCACTGCAGCTGTAAGTTCCAAACGAGGGATAGTGGTTTGCTTCAAAAGACCTACCCTGGCTTTGCCTAACATGAAGGCCACATTCACTATGCTTTGTCCTGCAATCACTCTTAGATAGCTTACTGTTCCATATCCATGGTTGCTTGCATCCGAAAAGTGATGGAGCTCTACTTTTGTAGATGCCTCCAATGCCTTGCATCCAAGTGGCTTCACACATCTTGCAACTTTAAAGTCTTTAAATTTCTCAAGATCATCAAGCCATTTTGTCCATTTGCTCACTGCAGCTTGAGGAATCTCTTCATCCCAACTCTGTTTAGACTTACATAGTTGTTGCAAAATTAGCGTTGCAGTCAGGGTAAAGGGGCATAAGAAACCAAGTGAATCATAGATTGAGCTTACTATTGAAAGTATATGTCTGCAAGTGTAAGGCTTATTCTTGATGGATATATTAAACTTGAACACGTCCTTTTCAGTACACCATAACAATCCAAGAGCTCTTTCAGATGGTAATATGTCTTTATCTAGATCCAGATTTCTTAGCTCCCTTGCTCTGTCTTCCTTTGGGATATTAGATAGCACTTCACGGTTGTTGCTCACCCATTTTTTGAGCTGAAATCCTCCTGCTAAACAGAGTGATGTAAGATCTTTCACTAATGATACTGCTTCCTTTGCTGAGGGAAGTGACTTCAAGTTTCACTGTGCTAATCACTTCTGGTAGAAAGTGATTTTTGTTATCAACAGCTGTTTGTCTTAGTGTAAAATTTGCACAGCTAGGAGATGACACTGCTCCAAAAAGATGGACCAACATGCGATGTTCAACAGGAGGTACACTGAATTCTCCATCAGGCCACCACAGGAATCGTAAGAAGTCTGCATTGGTCCTTGTCACTTTGACTTGATGAAACATAGCTTTTATATCGGTCATTATTATAGTGAACTGGTCAAATCATCACCTTGCAAAAGTTCATCATTCAAAGATCTTCCACAGTACCTTGCACTGCAGTCAAAAAACACTCAGATACTTCCTTTTTGTGGATGGTAAATACCATGGTGTGGAAGATACCATACTTTTCCTTCTTGGCCTTTCAACTCATCAAGAGGAACTGCCTCTACATGCCCTTTATTGATAACGTCTGCCAGGAATTCAGTGTATTCACTTTTGAACACTTCATTGTTCTTAAATTTATTTTTCAAACTTTGCAAACCCTGGTCTGCAACTTGATAATTATTAGGCAGAATCAAATTTTTTTCCTGATTGGTAAGTCCAGACAATAATGTCCATCTTGCAGCTTTACTGAGTTCTGTAAAATTTCAATTAACCTTTAGTCCTCTACGGACATTTCTCGACACAGACACGGAAAAGTTTGATCCAAATGCTCATCCAAATAAGCATTCATACCATGTTTCCCAGAAGCAGTATCGTCCTTAAGATCATCAGCACCTTTCAAATATTCAATCTTTGCTGTGTTGGCAGCAATTTCTGCTTCAATTTCCAGCATCTCTTTCTTTTTTCTAAACTTCTCTCTTTCTTGATCCAGTTGCTTCAATTCTTCTTCCACAACATATTTTTCCTTTAACACAGCAGCATTTGCCAGTAACACTGCTCTCTCTGCTTCTGCACAAATACGTGTCAAAGTTGTGGATGACAGACTGGAGCTTGATCTTCTCTAGGCACTAGATCTACTAGATCTACTAGATCTACTAGATCTGCTACTGCTGCATACTGAGACTTTATCGTCTTTATCACTGCAGATTCCTGGTTCCACAGCAGATAAAATCACCTCTTTACTGCCAACAGAATCAGAATTTTCAAGGCTAAAAATCCACTTTGTTACTCTAGAATAAAATGCATTAATTTGTGCCAATTTAGGTTCATATCAACTTTTCATGTCTTCATTTCTGTCCTCTTCATTCAACATATCAGCATTTGCTCTCTGTATGGACTTGAATTAATCAAACATTGCATCTAATTTACTCATGTTTGCTTTTACTTCACCAACATGTTCCGTATCAGCCATTAACGTATCAATGATATTCATTCGTCTTGTGATGTGCGACATTTTGCCGGCTCTATAAGAACACATTTGTGAGGCCTCTTGTTTCAAATCA